AAATGTTTATATAATAAAATATTTCTATTCTAAAACAGGAAGACTATGTACAAAGTATTTTTAAAAGATTTGAAAAAGCATTGAACCCGTAACTTTCTGAATTGTCAATCATTCTTAAACAGCAGATAGTGCTTGCCATTTAGAGTATTCTCAATAAAAGTCAAAGAACCACAGATTTACAGTTCATTAAATGAGAGATGAGAATGGAGACATGTGCAAACCATTTTGATTATTTTTTTACTGCAGTTAAAGGGAGCTGCTGAGATGAATGGTGGTCAGGTTGCCCGGCCCAGTTCTTTTGGGCCTGCTTGCTGCTGGCTGGGCAGACATTCAGGAAGATACTGAGAGCTTCGCATGTAGGTGGGCCAAAGATGTCTGAGACATCGGTCCTTAAATAAATCCCCAATTTTCACCAGGGCTAAGGGATGCAACTGTGCTTGCCAAGTTCTAGACAGCTTTCAGACTACCTTACTGTATTGCCTCCCTGTTCATTTTAATCTTACTGGGGTATGTGGATAAAAATGTTGATGTACTGGGGAAGGAGTCTAACACACAGTGACTTACTCTCCCAAGGAAATACAGTATGCCTGTGGCCATTTTCAACTTGCCATCTGGAAAAGGTTAAAATCATTTACTTTAAAATCAATACATAATTGTATTGATGGATTGTGGTGCTGGTGTTTGAACACACGGCAAGGAAAATGTTCTATCATTGAGCTAATCCCCAGCCCCACAGGTTATTTTTAAATCTTGGTAAGTATACAAAAATGATTAGAGGAGGGAGAAACTTGTATCAACCACATGCCAGGTTCTGTGTAATGTCTTTTCACATTTATTTCATGTAATGTAATTACTACAACATCCCCTTTTTAGTTACTATTGTATGTTTAGTGAATGTAAGCAGCTAGATTTGAATCCAGTGGTTTACCCATGTGAGAGGAAGAAAAACATGTTGGTTCTGAGGAGGAAATGGCATTTGGAAAAGCTTTACAGATTGGAACATACTCTTCTTCACAACATCAAAGTACCTCAACTGGGACAGAGTGACTTTTTCTAGATCATAGTAAGTTTCTAAAAATGGTATAGAAATATTTGAGATACGGAATTTTTGCTTGCAACAAAATGTGACATTAAAAAGTAAGGTTGGCCTTGATAGTTACATGAATATTTTCAATTTGTGATAATTTGAGATGCATGTTTATAGTTTTGTATCTGTGTAAAAGTACATTGCAGATAAATTTTCCAAAAAGTTTACTTCAAAGAAGACAAAACAAAATACAGGGTTGTCTAAGACTGCACAAGTTAAGCAAGTTATACAATCACATCCTGACTTTTTCCTTATTAGTGAAAAATAAAGATAATAGGCAAAGTCCACCGTCTTTCATGAGATAAGTTTGTGAATTTTCATTTGGTTAGTACTGTATATAGTCAAACTTCTAATTTAGGATTGCTTTTTCATTGCTTCTCCATGGTAAGATATTTTTGAAAAATGTTTCTTCCTTTCATTCCTGTGTTTTAAAACAAATCTCCAGTGGCACCACAGGTCCGGCCAGTAATGCTCTCACAATCCTACCTTTATTTGCATATCCTAGAATGATTTACAGAAAACAAACATCTTGCCTGCCTTCAGGTTTGGCAGGAACAAGTGAATCCATAAATGTTTTGGGACAGTAAGGAAAGCTGTTGAAAAATTTGTAAATGCTCATGAAAATCAACATTGAGAAAAAAATTGCGTCACTCCTTTTAAAGAAGGGAAATTCTACTCCTGCTCCTTTTTTATGTTTTCTTCTGTCATTCATGACGTGAAGGCATTTTGAAGAGTCTGGGTCTGTCGTATGGTATAGTATCTTACAATCTAGGTTATCTATTGGCATTATTTTCTCATGGCAGTTACACGTTTATGGAGAAAACTACATGTACATAAACTGTCATTTTTCTATATCCATCCTGTTTTCCCACGTTTGAGACTCTACTCACACAGACCATTTCTTTAATGAACATTCTTTCTCCACTGGATCTCTATATTCTTCTATATTTAACCTTCTAGACTTTCCTGATATACTCCATCCTGAAATAATCTGCTAGTATCCAAATACTTTCTTTTTTCTTTTTTTTTTTTTTTTTGTCTTTTCCTTTTCATTGGTACCAGGGATCAAACCCACGCCTGCCTGCTTGCAAGGCAGGTGCTTATGCCGCTGAGCTAAATCCCCAGCCCCAGTACTTTCTTTTCTTGTAGCACGTATAATTAAAATTTTTTATATTGTTTTTGTTTATATACATTTTGTCCCCAGTGAAATCCACCTAAGTGCAGGTCTAATTTATGTTTGTGATATGGCAGCTAGCACATAACGCATATATATGCAGCTACTGCACAGGTGGATGCATAAACAAGAGAAACTGGGGTTTTTCGTTTCAGATACATAGTAAACTTGTTCAGCATTTGAGATCAAGAGAGGGGGTAGTGGAAGAGAGGTAAAAAAGAATACGTGTCACATATAAATACCAACTTTCCACTATGAATATGTAATATTTATGTACTACAAACAAATACTAATAAAAATTTATAAAGAAACCAAAAAAGAATTTTTAAAAGTGTACATAATTTATCATAAATGTTTTCTGCATCCCAAATAGTCTACTTTTTAAAAAATATTTAGCTGAACATGGTGAGATACACCTATAATTCTAACCTCTAAGAAGGCTGAGGTAGGAGAATTACAAGTTCAAGCCCAGCCTGTGAAATTTAATGAGATCCTGTCTCAAAATAACATACAAAAAGAGGATGTAACTCAGTGATAGAGTACCCCTGAGTTCAAATCCCAGTACCAAAAATAAATGTTTTGTTTTAATAAAAATACAATATACATCATATGCTTTAAGATAGCTCTTCTTAAGATATTGTTAAGCATTAAAGGAGACCTTTTATTCTGGAGAATTCATTCATTAGCTTTTAGCTTTGGAAAATGGGCCTGTAGTTTTCTTTAATAATTTTCACTCTTTCATATACTCTGGTCTCTGGAATGAGACCTTATAATTCAGATGTTAAGACTTCTGAGTTGATACTTCTCATCTCTTAACTTTTCTTGCATATTTTGTATCTTCTGCTTTCTGAAAAATTCTTTTCATATTCTTTCATAGATCTTTTTTAAGTGTTTAAAACTTTGTGTTTTTAGTTTTCAGTGTCAGATTTTTGTTTTCTCAATGGTCTTTTTAATAGCATCCTGTTTTATGGATATAAATCTTCTCAAATCTCTACAAAAATTTAGTGACAATGTTTTATGAAATGTCAATTTTAATTAGAATATAATGAAAATGTTGCTCTTTTCCCAACACCACCTTTGTGTAAACTTTCTTGAAGAGTTCCTCTCTCTTACATCTCTGTCTCTGTCTCTCTGTCTCTCTCTCTTTCTCTCTCTCCTATAATTAAAATAGAACCTTCTGGGCCCTAGAAAATAATCTGGGATCTTTGCATAAAAATTTGCCACTTGCCAGGTTTACTACAGGCTAATTCAATGCTGTTGTGTTATTATACTATGAAAACTCAAAACTGTCAAAACAGATTTTTTTTTCTGACATAAAGCTTTTAGAAAAGAACTCTTAGCAGGGTGTGATGGCAGTGGCACACCTGTAATCTCAGCACTCTTGTGAGGCAGAAGCAGGAAGATTATAAATTTGAGCCTGGCTTGCTGAATTTAGGAAGTTAGCCAGAATGTCTCAAAAGAAGGAAAACCAAAAAACCCACCTGTGGTGGTGCATGCCTGTAATTCCCCCAATCAGGAGGCTGAGGAAGGAAGATCACTGAGCTTGAGGCCAGCCGGGGCTACAAAGTGAGTTCAAGGCCAGCCTGAACAGTGATACTATCTCAAAAAAAAAAATTTTTTTTTTTTTTTAACAAGAGGTGGGGATGCAGCTCAGCATGAAGACAATTCTCAACCCTCAATACTGCAAAAACAAAAACACAAAACAAACAAAAGAATACCTTTTCAGTTTCTTTGCCCAGGTAGCCACTCAGCAGGCAGGGATGTGTGTGAGTGGGTGTGCGTACTTTCTGTTCCTTATTGAGACGTTTAGGTATTTCCCTCGGTTTTTAGCCCTTGCTGTCCCACTTCTCTCACCCTTTCCTGCACCTCTCGTCTATCTCATGTGTCCACTTTATCTAAGCCTCAGCTTTATCCTCTATTAGGTGTCACTCATCTATTTTCCATTTTCCAGAATTTTGTTGCAGCCTCTCATCCTCTGATGGACTCTGTGGCTTTTCTTGCTATAGGTTTATATGTTCTTTCTAGTCCTTTTACCATCATTTGGTGGAGACCTGGAAAGAGGAGATAAATATGTGCATTTATTCAATTTTGTCATCTTTCATCAGACTCCCTGCTTAATTCAAAAATGTTTCTGTTATAAATTTCCCTCTATTATTTGGTTCTGTGAATAAATACTCAGCTCAGAAGATTCAAGAAATGATGCTCTGATTATAAGGGGAAGGTTCAATTAAGCGTGGGTGGTTTCAAATTTCCAACTGAGTAATCTAGGCAAAAGGAAACTACTTAAGATATTGTAGAGGGAGTGGGAGATAAACTTTCTTTACAATATGAGTATCCTGGTTACTTATTTACAGTTTGGAGAAGATAGTCAATAACTACAGAAGTTCTATAAAAAGTCTAAAGCTACTGAAGTTAAAACAAAAAATGTTTTCATTCTGCTGGCAAACCATATTCCTGGGACAGTTGAGCCTTTGGTTTTCTCCCTAGTTTTAGCATCTAGAAGAGAATAAAGTTGCACCTTCACCCAGGCAGGCCACTCCTAATCCTACTCACTCACAAAGAATGTCCCCTTTGAGCCATTGCAGCATTGGCTAGTTATACAGAAGGTCTCTTAGGATTGGCTGGGACTGCGCGTAAAATACTGTTTGCCTATAATCAAGTTGATGAGCTACAATATAAATGTATGCAGGCTCCTTCTCAGGCTATACTACAGCATGAAGCATTTGCTTTCTTCTGTTCTCCAAAATATCTGCCTGCAAGATCCAGAAAGGACACATTAAAGTCTCTTCCCGGAAGAAAAGATCTTTAAAGAAGAAAAAGCCTAAAATGGGTCTGTTGAGCTCTAAAACCCTGAAAACCAAGCAAGCCCAAATTCTTCTTCTGGGCCTTGACTCTGCTGGGAAGTCTACTCTCCTTTACAAATTAAAGCTTGCTAAGGATGTTAAAACCATTCCAACGATAGGTTTCAATGTGGAGATGATCCAGTTGGAAAGCAATTTCTCACTCACAGTCTGGGATGTTGGAGGACAGGAGAAAATGAGAACTGTCTGGAGCTACTACTGTGAGAACACTGACGGGCTGGTGTATGTTGTGGACAGTGCAGACAAGCAGCGACTAGAAGCCTCCCGGAAAGAATTTAAGCACATTTTGAAGAATGAACATATTAAACATGTGCCGGTTGTCATATTAGCTAACAAACAGGATATGCCCGGAGCTCTGACGGCCGAGGACATTACCAGAATGTTCAAAGTGAAGCAGCTTTGCAGTGACCGGAACTGGTATGTGCAACCCTGCTGTGCTATCACAGGAGACGGGCTGACGGAAGGATTCAGGAAGCTGACAGGCTTTGTGAAAAGCCACTTAAAATCAAGAGATACTTTAGCATTCGTCAAGCAGAAATGAGGCTGTGAAAAGGTCCAAGCCTCAAAAGAGACGCTGATGAGCACACGGTAACTCTTTTCCATGTCAAGTGAGAAAAGCAAGTAACTGCGTCGGTAAACTTTTCTTCAGATGTTATTTCACCTCATCTCAGTTAAACAACTCTAGAAAATACCTATTTTTAGCTGAGAGCTTTTAAAACCCTGTGGTAATGATCATTGAGAAGGTTTACTATATTTTGTAAAATCTTAACATGTTAGATGATCCAGAATAGTAATATTTGGAACAAATAAATTATTACTTTATTAATTTTATATGACTAGTAAAGTTTAGATATGCTGTTTGCTAATAGCATTAGAATTCTTTTGAATTGTTTGTCCCTGGAATGAAGAGCAAGATCTGCTCTAGGTTGCAACTCTGACATCTGCTTCAGTGGAATCCAATGTAATATTCCCTGCATAGGGACACACGTAGCTTATCTTACTGATAAAACAGGAAGCAACTTCAGACTTTGCTCGCTGAGACCTAGTAATCCACAAGAGAAGCAACATGAAGCTAGGAGCTACAGTTAAACAGTAAGGGCTGTGTTTATTGTAGGAGAGATTTTTTTGACCAAGAAACAGTAAGTGCTTCCTGCTGGAGATGGTGCCTACAACGGTTCCTAACTCCCAAACCCCATTAAGGTATAGGTTAGTCACTTAAAGTTCTCATCTCCAGGAGATGCTCTAGAGGCATTGTGACCAGGGACAATGAGGAGGCAAAGAAACTGAGACTGAACTGGAATCACTCATAGGGCTAAGAACAGAAAAGGAAATCATGAAAGGAATCCAGAGGCAGCTCCCTTGACTTACTGTATCTTTATTTTCCTCTGTGATCCTAAGCTTTGGGGCCCAAGGGGCTGCTGTAGAGGCTGGAGGCCTGCTTCTAGCCCACCCAAGCCTTGCTGGAGGTGAGGTAGGAAGAGTGTGTTAGTTCCAGGCCCTCTTTAGGAGTTCTGGTCCTCTCATGAGAATTCCTACATGGTAGGATTCAAATAATAAAGCAGGCATACACGTAACAGTCACCGTGGGCTGAATACTTGTATATGCTGAGCACTGGGCTAAATGCACTCATACATTTTCTTGTATAATGTTCACAAATGCTCTGACAAAAATAGACTTTATTATCTTAGTTTTACAGACACGAATACTGAGACTAAATAATGGTAAATTACAAAGAAAACTACATTTTAACTGAGGAGTACCAGAACAAAGGTTCAAACTTTGGTGTGTCTGACTGTAAGGCCTGCACTGTTAATTGCCATAATACTGTTGTTGGTGGTGGTGGGTTTTATGGTTCTATTTTTTTTGGTGTTTTGAGTCCTGCCATGTAGTTTAGACTCACCTTGAGCTCACTTAATTTAGCCTAGGCTGGCCTTGAACTTGTACAGATCCTCCTACCTCAGCCTCTTGGCCCCCCAAACGCTGGGATTACAGGCATGTGCCATCATGTCCAGCAATACTTTTTTATAGAAAAGGCATGATTTCTGTCTTCACTGAGCTTCCAACACACAAATAAGAACAGATTCAAGGCTGAGGATACTGCTAGTGATAGAGATTTCACTTAGCATGTTTCAGACCCTGGGGTTTGATCCTCAGTACCACCAAAAAAGAAAGAAGAAAAAATCCATGCCAACAGCTTACTTTCAGCCTTTTTTTTTGGTACCAGCAATCGAACTCATGACCTCGCACTTGCCAAGCAGGCACTGTGCCACCAAGCTGTATCCCCAGCAGATTACTTTCATAATAATAAAGTTTTTAAGAAAAAATAAATCAGACAACATAAATTAAGTGCAGTAATATATATCAGAAACATACATGACAAGAAGAGATTCCGATTTCATGAAGATCTGTGGGTAGGGGAGGCAGTATAGAACGTTCATGGTAGAATTTTTCCTAAGTTTAATGAAATAATTACAACCTCATATGCACATGTTCCCATATAATTTCCTTATTTTTACGAAAAGAATCTTCCTAGTAATCTTCAAAACAGAAAGTACTAATTTATTTCTATAGGAAATTTTTACATAGGAAATATCTTCTAGTGTTCCTGAGTTTTTGTGTTGTTGGGCCCTTGTCACTCTAGAACATTGTCACATGTTCTAACATGTAATATTCACAGAAAACAGTCTGGAAAATCACTGAAAATACCGGAAACCCTTGGTATGTAAGGTAGGCAGATACATTCTTAACGCTGAACAAACTTTATAAAGCACATTTTCCTGCCATTTCAGTCTTTTCCCATATAGCAGTTATTCTTTAAGATCATTGCTAATATTCTCTCAGAACATGTACACTACAATGCTTTTCTCTATAGCCTGGTCTATTTTTCCCATTGCTTGCTTTTTTCTTTAGTTTTTTACTAGTCTTTCTTTTCTTTAGCATTTCCTCCTATTCTTCTTAGCATGCTTCTCTTTGCTGTCAATGGGTCTTGGCCTCAGTCTGTCTCTATGTCTCTGCCTGTCTGTCTCTATTTTCTCGCTCTCCTGAGGACTCCAGGGCCTTTCCACTGAGCTACATCCCACCCAGCCCCCCAATGTCTTTTTTTTTGACAAAGTTTCCTCATGTTGCTAAATTGCCCAGGCTGGGTTTGAACTTGTGATCCTCTGCCTCTGCTGCTCTGAGTGCTGGGATCACAGCCATGTACCACCTTTTCTGGCTCTGAAATGTTTCCAGGTTAAAGATTTAACAAGTAAATCTGAACTCTTTGAGGAACAGGTAAGGATCAATTAAATATTTTGAAAGGAAAATATCACTAAAATATTTCTGATTTTCTAAATATTGTAGGTGAAAAAAAAGTCTTAAAAGATAAAACAGCATACCAAGGAAGATCAGGAATTTTAGATAGAGAAGGTTCTGTGTGAGATTCCTGCAGATGGAACTAAAGTCTCAGAGGTTGATTGATCACTGCAGTGTATGAAAGTATGTGAGGGAACAACCCATGATCTAGCACTCTTTGGGGTCTTCAGGCCTCAAAATTGGTCTGCTTTTGTTTGTATGTGCTATCTCTCTACAGAGGCAAAAACAGAGATCATGACAGACTGAATGACTTCTCCTTTGGTAGAATGAAGGACTATTCTAACATAACACAGCTTAATAATGTCAGAGGCATTCCAGGTCACCAGATTTTTACCATAGTGGTGGCTGTAATTACTTCAAGCAAGAAAGTAAATTTTATCTTGAAAGTGCCACACAGATATAAAATATAGTTATTAGATGACAAATGTATGAATAGTATTTTCATGAATATTACCTCATTTTAGTCTCACAAAAATCTTATGGGGTGACACAACAAATATTTTCAACCCTATTTTAAGCATATAAGGAAAATGATTAAATAGTTATCAAACCAAGTCCTCTGATTGCCAAGAAAAGACATATACATAAATATTATCACACAATGACTTTACCAATAATGTGGTATATACAGAATTTATCACTAAATCTCTTTGTTTCTATAAACGCAATGGGACTGTGAGCCACGATGTTTCTTGGGCCTCAAACCTAGAAGATAGCTTCCTTTTTCCTCCAGATTCTATATCCATCAACAGGTGGTGTCAGGGGCTGGGGATTTAGCTCAGCGGCATAAGCACCTGCCTTGCAAGCAGGCAGTCGTGAGTTTGATCCCTGGTACCAATAAAAAGGAAAAAGACAACAAAACAAAACAAAACAGATGGCGTCAGCTCTTCTTTCAAATTATAGCTCCTAACCAAATCTCACCCCTCCCACTACTAAAAGGCTATCACCAATTTCTGTATAGGTGACTGATTCTTCACCAGAATTCTTCCAAGAGGTCTTATTTAAAGATGGAAATCTGACCCCATTTTCCCCTGTAACCATCCTCATTCTCCTTACTGTTACCCCCACCCCATTCCTGGTATCTGCTTCCTATTTTTCCCACCCCTTGACCCCAACCACAGCTCCTCTATGGCCATTATCATATTAGCATATTACAGCACCCCCACCTCCAACTTGCTATTCTCCTACTTTAGAACACATTTCCCTCAGGCCTTTATTCAAATCTTGTAGATCCTCAACCAAAAGAGCAGAGAGGTGCTCCCTGAATCGTTATTTAAATAGACTTCCTGATTTCTGTTACTTTCTACCTATTTACAGACATACTTTTACAGGAACATGTGCGTATGAGGTTGTAATTATTTCATTAAACTTAGGAACCATGCTTTTTTACTGTTTGTTTTCTTCCCTAGAAAGTGAGCATCAAGGGGGAAATGACAGTCCATCTTATATCTACGATATCCTGAAAGTGTGCTTAGGACATAAAAATTTAAAAAGCTGCATGCAGAACAAATGCAGCAATGGTATGAACCCTACAATGAGGTCTTGTCGTGGCCCCAGATGGCTTCTTGATGATGCAACATGGATACAATAATGGCGAGTAAAAAGAATGGTAGATTGGGACTTATAATGGCCTCATTCGAATCTCAGAATCCCTTAGACAAGTCCCTCCACTCAGGAGAGCGGGCATCAGGAACTGGACACAGTCTTTGGAGACATCACTGGAGAAGAATTCTGGTTTATTATCTGTTTGGCTTTTGGGCAGATCACCTCTCTGAGTCAGCTCTGTCAACAGTAACTTGAACAAGAAATGAACTTTTATTGTGTTAAATCAGTAGATATTTATGTTGCTAGAGCAAGCCCTGGTAGATTGTCCAGCCTACTTTACCGGGTCATGCCCTTTGCCCCTACTGTATGTGTGTACCTAAACTCTCCTTTCTCTACCCTTCTTTTGCTCACAAACCCCATCTTCTCTCCAGATGCCCATCCTTGCACCCTCATTTTACTCACTGCAGGACAAGGAAAGGAATTTAATTTTTCTTCAACTTTTTAGTTTGAAAAACTTTTAGGTGCTCAGAAAGTTAAAAGAAGAGCAAAATTAACACAGATACAATTTTCTGTTAAATTCACCATTACAATTTGGCCATTTTAAGGTCTTTCTCTATTTCTGTTTCGGTCTCCTCCCACCCCACAGAGATACAATCATCCTGATACTTTATATCTCAATTCTTCATCATGTATCTCCTTAGAAGCAACCTTCTCTTATGTAACCACAGCACCATTATATAAAATTTTAAGCATGTTATTTAGCAGTCTATAATCAAAATTTCCTCAAAATTATCACCTATAGAATGTCTGATTGAAAATTTGTTGCATTTGGTTATGTCACTTTTAACTTACAATATTTTCCCTATCTTTTCTTGTTTTTGTTTAACTTTTTGAAGAGTCCAGGATCAGATATTTTATAGAATGACCCATAG